AGGAGTCACTGTGTACTTACTTCTCATGTGGGATCTGTCCTTAGTGTGTTGTCCAATGTGAAGTAATGCTATAACTAATACTGAAACAGTATTTTACACTTTGTGTTTCTGTGTGGGTGCAAACTGATGAAATCTTTACTTAATATATACTGAATTGATCTTCTGTATATAAAGAGAATTGAAAATGAATCTTGATGTGAATGGAATGGGAGAGGGAGCGGGAAATGGGAGGGGGTGAGTGGCGGGGAAATTATGGGGGGGAGCCATTGTAATCCATTAACTGTACTTTGAAAATTTATATTTACTAAATAAAAATTAAAAAATCATAATTGTACACTTATAGCAGGAAAATATGAAATTATTTTCCAATCAATTTTATTAAATGTTGAAAATACCAGTGTATGATAGCTCCCAATAAAGCATGCTGAATGTTTGCAAACTTTTCTGAAAAGGCATGGAAAGTGGGAAAGTAGTTTTGAATTCTATCAACAACTTTGCCTTTGGCAATCACCGAAATACCCACCAATTTTTGTTGGGATAACAAAAATGATAAGAATGCTACTTCCAAAATAGATAAAAGCAATATTTCGTATTGACCTGTAGAAATAATCTTAAAACTATAGGCCAGTAATTTTCTTAGAAGATAAGTGATTGGAAGTTCTAGTGTTTTTTTTTTTCAATCAGACAAGTTAAAAAAAAATTCTGCCATCTTCTGAGTCAAACTTCTTTGTCTTCCCTCAGACTGCAACCTCAGTGAAGTGAGCCACCAGTACACTGTACACTGTTCATCCTTATGTGAAAACACTCTTCACAGAGCCCACTGAAGGGAACTTATTATTGGCTTGTTGATCACCAATGTCTACCTGTCAAATAATTCCAAAACTTTCCCCAGGAAAAAATTAATTTTCTAAAAGACCTCAGAAAACCTAAAGCTTTAGAGCTATTCTGAAAGCATGTTCCTAGACTGGAGATTAAACCTGGTATATATGTCAACTCTCATTAAGAACACTTCAAAATATCAACAAGATTTAAAAATGAAATTTGATGTAAGAATAGCTGATATTTTTAAAAAGAACAATGAGTGAAAACTTGTTCTACATAGCAAAACAGAATAATTAAAACAGCATGATATCAATGTAGAAATATAAATATAGATCAGTTTCTACTTAAGTCCATATGGACTTAAAAGTATAATTAGAAACATACGTAATAAAGGTGGCATTTAAAATCATGGATGAGGATCACTTGTGAAATAAATGAGATAGATGACTGTCAATTTAGAACAATAAAATAGAAGTCTGATACTTAGCTCACAATCATTTATGAAAATAAATTCCAGATGGCTATAAAGTTAATTTTTAGAAGAAACATGAATTTTTTATTATGTAGTCTTATTTGCATGGATGCCATGTATTGCTTTGAAATTTGTGCATTACAAAACCGATGTCTGACCAGGGATATAAATGGAGCCTAATGTCTGGCTGCTTGCCAAGCTACATGCAGAGTTCAGAAGCCCTATCCCTAACTTGTGCACTTGCCTAGGTATTCTCTTCACTCTGCCACCAGAAGGGGGCACCTGTTTCTAACGGGCACAAAGAACTTCATAGTCCAGTATCAATTAAAAAATAAATACAAAACCATTCATATCCATATAAATACATTTTTTACACAAATATTTGCTTTGGACTGAATATGTTCCCTGGCTTTCCAGCCCCAAATTCGCATGCTGATGCCAAAATCCTCTGTGTGGTGGTATTTGGAGATATGGCCTTCGTGAGGGGATTAGTGCCATTAAAGATGCCACAGCTTGCTATTGCTCTCTGCCATGTTGACAACGTGGCAAGAAAGGCTTCCCTCTGCAAGCTGGGAGAAGAGTCCCACCAGAACCTGACCATGCTGGTACCCTTGAGCTTGAACTTCTAGCCTCTCAAACAGTGAGAGCATTGTTTAGTCCAACCAATCTATGATGATTTGCTATGGCAGTCTGAGGTGACTACTATAATGGCATTATACTGTAAAATGTATTGAGCTTTTCATTACTTTTTTTAACTTTTAGTTTATATCTGTGTGTTAAGCAAGTGATAATAACAGTAACATAATTTTTATAGGATATCCTCATTATTATATGCCATATTTAAACAACTTAAAAGTGCTTGAATATGTTGAATTGTTAGAGGAATCCATCTAAAAAATAACTGATAATAAGCATTCGTTAAATATAAGTGATTACTATGTTTCAGGACGCATGTTATAGTTAACATTTCATTTGATGCTTGCAACAATCCTGTGAAGTGTAGGTAAATTGCATATCTTCACTGAAAAGGTAAGGAAACTGAAGCACCAAGAGGTTGAATAGCTCATTCAAAGCACACATAACTAAAGGATGGAGCCAGGATTCCAGCATTAATCTAATTCTAGAGACTTCCCTCTTAATTTCAATGGCATGTTGAGAAATTAAAATAGGATATTAGGAAATTAGGGGATTAGTGGAAACTTTGGCAAAAACAATTTCAATAAAACAAAGAAAGTAAAAGGCATTGTAGAATATGGAAAGCGGAATTATAATTCAACAAAATGAATTGCTATAGCATTTTATTATCTTGAACCTTAAAAATTGCCAGTAATCAACCAATTTGATTTATAAAGATGGCATTTTCACATGGGTCAATCTCATGTCAGTTTGTGAATATTGTTTCAAAGAAACAATCTTAGAATTTAAAAAATAGAAAAGGAAATAAATGACATGTTTTCAAACTCAAGACTCTGTGTGTGTGTGTATTTGTGTGTGTGTATTTGTGTGTGTGTGTGTGTGTGTGTGAAAGATCTGGAAACTGTTTCATGCCTCCTGATAGGAAAAATGTGCTTTGGTTAAAATACCACACTTGAGTTTTGTGAATTACATTGCAGTAGTACAAAAAACTGTTTTAACTAGTCAACCAAATATATTAGTGCTAGAAAATTCATAAAGGAACATAGCTTTTGGTTATTTCCAGAAACAAAGGTACCAGCAATTTTTACCTGTTGAACTCCAACTCCATAAATTACAGAAGGAAGACTATGCCTCTGCATACAACATCATCAAACTTTTTTTCTGAAGCATTTCTCTAATTTATCCTGATATTTTAAAGGCCCCTTTCACTAATTCCTCTCTGGTATGCAAGTATTTGCTCCATTGTTTTACATTTACAATGTTTCAACAGAAGATCATAAACTGTTAAATGACCAAGGGTTTAAGGAAGAGTTAAAACTGAAACCCTGGTCTCCTGTCTCCTTGTCCTTAGTAGTTTTTATTATGTTGTAATAAGCCTATTTTTCCCTGTTATGTAATACAGACTAATCTGATTTTCCTTTTCTTTTTTACTGAAAAGTTCTGAATCAGCTCATCTTGATAATTACTGAGACAGGAAGCAAAAGACCAAAATGACTAATCAGAGAAGCTCCCTGGCTATGAGGAGTGAGTCTATTAGAAGCATGTGTCCTAATGCTGGGGCTCCACATCTGTTACATTATCTCCCATCCTTTCCAATTTCTGTGGCTCAGCAATAGTTTTAGATTGCTCAACCAGGCTTTTGACCACTGCCTTTGCCTTACCCTTCAGTGTCTGTTTGGTCTAGGGTTCTTACCTCCTTCTCTGCCTCTGAAGCATGGCATGGGTGTCTTCTGGTATCCACTTACATCTTCTACTTGTTTATCTGGTTTCTCATTGGCTGCTTGACCTCTTAACCTTGAGCCCTGTCTTTGGTTTTCTCAGTAAAAGACTATGCTGAACTCTAAAATCCTGAGTTGTGTAGAGAATAATGTGAGTTTACCCAAAAAATCCTTAGAAATGCTTAACATTTATCTGGAACTCTGGGTTCTCTCTGCGGTCTTGGTGACTGGAGGTTGAGATACCTGTCACATGGCACATAAATGACACTTCCCATCTACAAGTGAACCTCAAGTTTGATGATATATGCACGGCAAGTTCAATGATATATGCATGGGACACCCCATGTGTCTTGTGCCCATAGTGTTCTGTGGTGCCCTATGGTCAACTTCTCATCAAATTTCTGAGATATTCCCATGATCGGATTCCCATTGAGTCTTGGAAGAAGTCCAGTGGTTGACTTCCAGTTTTGGCTTGCCTGCCCCTCTCCTTGCCCCCCAAGTGGGATGTTTCCTGCTTTTCCAGTGACCATGAACTACCTCTGGCTTAACCCACCCAGTAACTTCTCCAGTATGCAGCTGGGCATAAACACAGTCTGTACAATGGAATATAAATCCAACCACGGAAAAGGGCTCCAATTCCATGTGAACCTTCCTTCAACCCCAGGTTGTTCTTTATAGTTCTCTTTATCCCTTTGTATAACAGGGATTTCCTGATAGTTTATGTTTCTTACACTTCTGTTCAAGTTACTATGTTGTTTGTCTTCTAGTGGATCCTGACTGATATATTAACTTGGAAAAATAATTTTAACTTCTCAATGGATTCCTATATCAAAGGAGACTGGGCTAGCTGATCTCAAATGTCCTTTCTGGCTTTAGAATTACATTATTCTAGGAAACTTGTTTTTTTTTCATATATGGTATATACTCTAAAAATATTATATATACCACAGCACTGCACGATTATGAATCTTTATCTCCAAAGTCAGTCACAGTAAGTTGTAGGGTCTCCCTTCTTCTTGCAATAATGTCTTCCACCTCCTGGGTCAAAATATTAAATTACAGCAGCAGCCAGTATCCATGTCATGCATGCAGTGGCAACAGAATACTATAAATTCCTCTATGAGGGCTTTAATTATGATACTATCTAAGGAACAAAATGGAAAACTAGAGGTTCCTGGATGAATGAAGGTTTAAAATATATTATAGGAATAATTTTATCTCTTTGTGAATATAAATATTGAAAGGATACAGTAAGTGCAGAAAACTTCCCTGTGACACTGTTCATCCTAACACATTACCAAAGACTCCATTTGCCACCTCCATTATCACATAATTTGAAGCTTTTCTTTTACCTCTCTTTGTCTTTTGCCAACTGTTCAGCGATTAATTTCTTCAGTTCCTCTAGACGCTGGAGATCTCTCATTTCCATTTCTTGCCACTTTTGTTCTTTCTTAGCCCAGTATTTTCTTATCTATTGTATAAATGTAACATAAAATTTAAAATAACTGATATGTAAAAATGAGGGAGAAAGCTATAATATTATCTATGACTTCATATAGCACAGATTGAATTTAAATGGCATTTGTTCTTTTTTTTCTTACTTGCCTATAACATACTGTCAACAGAAAAATAAAACATGAATGTACATGTCTTGAAAAACCTCATGGTTTAACAGCTTCCTAAGTGGAAATGTAACTTGTACTGAAATCTGAGGTTTTAATCTCTCGCTAAAATAATTGACTTTCAGGGAACCACAATAAAAGCCTCTTATTTTTGCTAAAGTATATGATCTACCTGTTACTTAAGAATATTTTTATACTTATGATAATACAGTCTTCAACAAATATAGCACTAAAACTATTTTTAATTTAAAAGCATGGGTTTATTTATGCTAATGGACAGCAGGATATTGAAAGCTCTGTGCATCTGGGGAAGCGGCAGGAGATGGGTGGGAGGAAGGAGGAAGAGAACAAATTAGCAGGGCTGTGGTGCATAGCTCTGACTTACACAGTGAAACAAAGGTCAAGCTTCTCAAGTACAAAAAGACGAAAGCATCTTTCATACTAGGCCTTTTTATACTTTATTCCTTTCTTTGGAAACAGAGGCAGAATGAAGAAACCAGAAGTACACATGTACTGTTTTTAGGGGACTGAAGCCATTATTCAGGACTTCCCAATGTGATGAGGCAAATTAAGTCAACTTTCAATTGAAAGAGGCCCATCACACCAATCTGCCCTGCCATGTTGAGTCTGGATTAATAGGCTGGATCCTGCTGACTACAAGCAGAGTACACCAGCATAGGGTCTGTTAGAGGCAGGGTTTGCCTCACCTGTAACGTGACATTTCCCCTCCTGAGATGGGGATATGAAAAGCCAAGTGCTTTCCTGGCTTGTCCTAGCAACATTGTCTCTGACTCCTAGGAGAATCAAAACATCCAAACACCATGGCCACAGCCGTAGCAACTCTGCAGCCACAATAGCAACATCTGCTCGATGTTTAATGAATAGCTGGATGACCTCAATGTGAAGTCATAGTCATTCCAGGGATGACTGAGTTTAGGAGAATAGAGATGGAGCTAAAACAATGAGAGCACCAAGGAAGGGGAGGGGGCAATGGAAAAGAGGAAATTGATGGACAAGGTGTATTCCGGAGTTCTAACTGATAATTACCAACAGATTCTATAAATACCATATCTGGAAGAGCGGACAATACAATCTACATCTGGGATTCTAAGAAATCTTAATTTTATTTTTGCATTGACTTTTACTCAAAGATTTTATTTGAGAAGTAGAGTTACAGACAGAGTGAGATACCGAGAGAAAGGTTTTCCATCCACTGGTTCACTCCCCAAATGTCTGCAATGGCCAAAGCTAGGCTGATCCGAAGCCAGGAGCCTCCTCTGGGTCTCCCATGTGAGTGCAGGGGCCCAAGCACCTGGACCATCTTCCACTGCTTTCCCAGGCCATCAGCAGGGAGCTTGATCAGAAGGGGAGCAACTGGGACCCAAAGTGGTGCCCATATGGGATACAAGTACCTCAAGTAGAGGCTTAGCCTACCACGCCACAGCACCAGCCCCAAGCTTTATGGATTTCATAATCAGAAAAAACAAAAGCTTTTTAAAACTAAGCTTGTAGAAAGGATAGATATGGAATTATTAAAGAACATTTTCCTCTGGGTTCTAACAGTCTAATAACATTTATCTACTCCCAGCACTGACCTCGGAGAGAAGTCAGTCATCCTTTTGCAGACCAATCCCAGGTTGCTGGCATTCTTGGATCTCTGACACCATTTGGTGAACTGCCCTGTACTACTCCTAGCAGTCTGTCACACTTGAGGCTTTTTGAACTCTCAGGACTTTATTTATTGCCACTTCTACAGTGTAAACTCCCCTCCTCCATCTCATCTGATATAGTCATTCCCAGTGCTTTTCACTGGCCCCCCTGGAGTCCATGTGTCATCCTACATAATACCACCTACACCCTTACCCTTCCAAACTCCACTTCCTTGTCCTCAATGAACCTCTCTTGAGTGAGGGGTCCTCATGTGTTGATGCCCCATGTACCACAGGTCTGCAGAATGATTTTGGCATTTTTCTCTGAATTGGAGCTTTGAGACCACTGCGATCCTTCTCCAGTATAATTCCCTCTCCATTTGATATTTATGTCACATGCTACCCATCTTTAGCACTGGCATATGTGGATTTTCAGGGTCTAAGTCTCAGCCTCTGGCAATACAGCGCCTTCTGCCTTCCTAGGCAGATTTAGCATCTCACTGGAACACCTTTCCAACGTCGTAGACTCACAGTCCCTTGAATTCCTCCAATCCAGGGACCCATTTCCTCCAGGATTCTGTTTTCATTGAAAACAGTTCCAACTCAAATCTTGAATTATAGCCAGACTGTTAGAACTGACCCTCCCCATCCAGTCATCTTCTGGGCTATGATCAGATAATGCTATTCCTCTGCAGTTCCATCACAATGCTTTGCTAATTATATACCCTTTCTCTCTCCCACTAGACAAGGGAAAATTGATTTATTTATCTTGGTACTTCTAAGGGCAACTAAAGTATCTAGAATGTGGCATGTGGTTAATAACCATTTGATTTATGACAATTGTAGGAATGGGTACCAAATTTATGACTTCAATGGCAGCCAGCGTTTCTTTTAAGAATTCCTAGCCAATGCCTCTCACAGTGGTGTTCAAAAATCTGTTTATTATATTAAGCTCCATATCTTACTCTACTTCCTCCCTTTCATGGAAGAAAATGAAAGCTCTAAAGTACATTCCCTGATGTCTTCTCCCATCCAAAGAAGAGGTGTCCTTTCTTTCCAAGATCAGTATGTCACCTGGGCTGCAGACCCCATTTTCAATTCCATCCTCAATTCTCTCTCTCCTCTGTACCTTTGTCTAGGTTTTTTGCTGCTCCTTTTCCTCACATTGAATAAAACACAAATATCCTCTGCTAAAAATGCTTTTAAAGGCTTCTAGACCCTGAAGACCAGCATTTTAGCTAAGCATCTTAAAATATTTGTTCTCTATTTTTTTTTAAGATTTATTTAGAGGCCAAAGCCATGGTGCAGTAGGTTAATCCTGCGCCTGTGGTGCTGGAATCCCATATGGGTGCCAGTTCTAGTCCTGGCTGCCCCTCTTCCAATATAGCTCTCAGCTGTGGCCTGGGAAAACTGTGGAGGATGGCCCAAGTCCTTGGGCCCCTCCATCCATGTGGGAGACCAGGAAGAAGCACCTGGCTCCTGGCTTCGGATTGGTGCAGCTCCGGCCATTGCGGCCATTTGGGGAGTAAACCAAAGGAGGGAAGACCTTTATCTCTGTCTTTCCCTCTCACTGTCTGTAACTCTAACTCTCAAATAAAATAAATAAAATCTTTCAAATAAATAAAAATCTTTTTTTTAAAAGTCAGAGTTACACAGAGAGAGGAGAGGCAGAAACAGAGGTCTTCTGTCTGATGGTTTACTCTCCAATTGGCTGCAATGGCCAGAACTTTGCTGATCCGAAGCCAGGAGCCAGGAGTTTCCTCTGGGTCTCCCACATGGGTGCAGGGGCCCAAGGACTTGGACCATCTTCTACTGCTTTCCCAGGCCACAGCAGAGAGCTGGATCAGACGTGGAGCAGCCGGGACTAGAACCGGCGACCATATGGGATGCCGGTGATTCAGGCCAGGGTGTTAACCCACTGCACCACTGCACCAGCCCCTTGTTCTCTATTTTTGAATTACCCATTTACTCCTCAGCATGGCATTCCTACCTATGTCTTGTACTTCAAATTCATTGCTTTCATTGGTGACTACCAAAGGCTCAAACATTTCTTTAAAACTTACTTTGCAGTTTCCATTTATTTCATTATATTAATCATTTACAATCTTAAAACACTACTATATCATTTATTTATTCAAATTTTTGAGCACATACTTAAAGCCAGATATGGTGCTCTGTGCTTGAAATATGGTACTTAGAAGGCCTCTGTCCCATGGAACTGGTACTTTATGGAAGGGAGATAGATGATAAACAGCTAAATAAACAGGATAGTACACGTTGTGTGAACTTCTAAGATGGAAACAACTAGGAAGATTTAAAAAAATTTAGGTAGAATTACTAGAAGTTTTATTTAAGGAACTTTAAAATAGTTCATTTGGATGAAGACCTGAAAGATGAGGAGATAGGTATGAGAAGAAGATGTGTGGGAAAAGATATCACATGTTTTTAACTGGATGGAAGGGGAAGCCAGTGCAGCAGCAGCCGGTGGTATGAGTTAAATAAGACAAAGGTGAGACTGGAGAGCTGTGTGGAGGCTAGATGATTATTACTGGGTTTAGTTCTAGAAACAAGAAAAAAACTATTGATAATTTTTAAATGAGTGAAAAGCAGAGGGAGGGAGAGACAATGAGAATTAAGGAAATGTCATTATATTCTTAGAATTCTATCTATGAACTACATTGGATCAGTTCCCCTTGTACAGGAAATAATTAAAGTATCAGATGGTTATGAAAGATGAAAAAGACCATAGGGACATACCATGACTTGCTTTTCTAAGATAGCTCTATTAAGCGGAGAATGGATAGTGAAGGAAGTAAAGAGAAATCAGGAGACCATGTAGGATAAAGTAAAGATTAAAAAAAAAAACTATCTGCAAATCACTTGATCAGGAAATTGAATGTTCAAAGTTGAGACATGCCTCTGAGTCACATAGGATTGCTCACTGACAAAGTGGATAGATATGGAGAATGGAAGAAAACAATCAGGCATGGTCATTAGGTTTTGTTTAAGCAACTGGCTGGATGGTGGCACCAGTAACAGGGATGGAATATTGGGAGAATAACAGGTTTGGAAGAGGTTTGGGAGCTCAGTTTTGATGCGGCCTAGAGATCTCTGAATGGAGACACCTAACAAACATCTTCTGGTGCAGCTGGGTGGCTCAGGGGAGAATTCGGTGCTGGAAGCCTGAATGGAAGAGCTAT